CGGGTGCTTCGTCTCGGCGGGAGCCACTCTCTCCACAGGAGCTGCGCGAGTGGTTTGCCCGGCGCTGGAGGCGTGCTGCTGGAGCTGGAGGTTCTTCGGCTGCTGAGGGTGCTGGTGCCGCGGGTCCCGGAGGTGCTCGTACTGGGAGTACTGGAGCTGCTGGGCCTGCGGGTACGACTGGAGCTGGAGCTGCTGAGGGTGTTGGCGCTGAGGCTACTGCTGTCGGTCCTGGAGGCGGTCCTGCTGGGGGTGCTACTGGTGCTGCTGGAGGTACTGGAGCTGGAGGTGCTGCTGGCGCTGGTGCTGCCGCTAGGGGTACTGGTGCTGTCCCTGCTGTGTCTGGAGTCGCCGCGCGGCCTCGGCCGTACTTCGTTCCGCTCCTTCAGCAGGTTCTTGGTCTCCCGCCTTCTACTGGTCCTCCTCCTCCCTTAGCGTGTCCCCAGCCTGTCCCGTCACAGTTACAGTTACAGCCGGCCTCCCCACTGCCCGCTCCTTCTCCCTACACTGGTCCTACTGGAGGTCTTGCTGAGCGTCGTGAGCCTGCGTCTCGCCCTGCGTCGCCTGTCCGTGCTGCTCGCACTAGTGCTCGTGGTTCGCGTCAGCGTCCTCCTCCTGTCCCTGGCACGCACCGGATGTCTCTGCGTCCGTCCACTGCTCCTCTGCGTGCCCCTTTGCCTTCTCCTCCTGAGTCCTCTCTTCCTGCTCTTCCTGACCCGGAGTCGGACTCTCTTCGTGCTGCCAGTCCTACTGTCACGCGTCTCCTTGCTACTGTTGTCACTGACCCTTCCTTTGAGTCCACTGCTGCGTCTGCCCTAGTTACTGAGCTCGTCGACTTTGCTGCTCGCTGTCGTCTAGACTACGCTGCTAGTCTTGTTGCTGAGTCTGAGTCTGTCTGTCCTCCGTCCGTCGGGGGTGAGTGTGCCCTTGGCACGGACGTCCTTGAGGACAGGCAGGAGGAGTTCCAGTGTTTGGCTGCTGCTTCACCTCATCTCGTGTCCGTACTGCTTACCCCTGAGGGAGACCCGGATGCACTTGACATCCCGACTCCGCGCTCTTACGCGGAGGCGATAGAGGGTCCCTACTCCTCTCAGTGGCAGGCACCTATGGACGCAGAGATGGCTTCCTGGAAGTCCACAGGCACCTACGTTGACGAGGTTCCCCCGCCTGGGGCGAACATCGTCAGTGGCATGTGGATTTTCAGGGTGAAGCGGCCGCCGGGTTCTCCGCCTGTCTTCAAGGCGCGTTACGTGGCTCGTGGCTTCAGTCAGCGGCAGGGAGTTGACTACTTTCAGACCTTCTCTCCCACCCCGAAGATGACCACTCTTCGGGTACTGCTGCACATAGCTGCTCACCGCGACTACGAGTTGCACTCTCTTGACTTCAGCACTGCTTTCTTGCAGGGCAGCCTGCACGAGGAGATCTGGCTGCGTCGCCCACCTGGCTTCACTGGGTCTTTTCCTCCTGGCACCCAGTGGAGCCTCCGGCGGCCAGTCTACGGTCTCCGCCAGGCACAGCGTGAGTGGCACGACACACTGAGGACTACACTTGCGGCTCTTGGGTTTGCTCCCTCTACTGCCGACCCGTCGCTGTTTCTGCGCACCGACACTTCTTTGCAGCCGTTCTACATCCTCGTGTACGTCGACGACTTGGTCTTTGCCACAGCTGACACTGCTGGACTCGCCCACGTGAAGTCCGAGCTGCAGAAGAGACACACGTGCACAGACCTGGGTGAACTGCGCAGCTACCTTGGCTTGCAGATCACCCGGGACAGAGCACGCCGCACCATTACCCTGACTCAGTCACACATGGTGCAGCAGGTCCTTCAGCGCTTCGGCTTCACGTACTCCTCGCCTCAGGCCACTCCTCTGCCTACTCGCCACTCGCTCTCAGCTCTGCCTTCGGATGAGTCCGTAGAGTCGAGTGGCCCGTACCCAGAGCTTGTTGGCTGCCTCATGTACCTGATGACCTGCACACGATCTGACCTTGCATACTCTCTTAGCATTCTTGCACGCTATGTTGCTCCTGGGACACACAGACCGGAGCACATGGCTGCAGCGAAGAGGGTGTTGCGCTACTTGTGCAGTACGTCGGGCATGGGGCTTGTGCTTGGAGGGCAGAGTCCAGTGGTCCTCACTGGACACGCAGACGCTTCTTGGGCTGACGACCAGGCTACGCAGCGGTCGTCACAGGGTTACACCTTCAGCCTTGGTTCCGGCTCTGTTTCGTGGCGGGCTACTCGCTCGTCTTCTGTTCTCGGCTCCAGTTGTGAGGCTGAGATCTACGCCAGGGCCATGGCTGCACAGGAGCTTCGCTGGCTCACCTACCTGCTGACTGACCTCGGAGAGCCGCCTCGTTCTCCTCCAGTGCTCTACGTAGACAACAAGGCCATGCTGGCCTTGTGTCGAGAGCAGAGACTGGAGCACAGAACGAAGCACATTGCTCTTCGCTACTTCCTTGCTCGTGAGCTACAGCAGCGTGGTCAGCTGCGACTTGCGTACGTGGCCTCTGAGGCCAACACTGCTGATATCTTCACCAAGGCACTTGCGCCTTGTGATCATCAGCGCTTCTGTACTCAGCTGGGTCTTGTACCTACCTTGCCTCACTTGCTCACCTCTTGACCTTGTTTGTACTGTTGCATATATATATACTCCTGCTCTTGCTTGTCTAGCCTTATATATATATGTAATCCTGCATGTGAACTGGCCTTGTGGCCTTGAACTTGTGCTCGGAATGTGTGGTGACTTTGTGATCCACCCTGAGCTTGCTTTGCTTTGCTTGACTGGTCTTGTGACCCCTTGTTCTCCCCCACTTTGCCTATGGGGGTGTGTCAGAGTGATATGACATAGCTACTGTAGGCTATAGTGGGGTAGCACATATGGGGTACAGTTGCCTAGGGTTTGCCTTTTGTACCCAACTTTCACTTAGTCATTTCATTCCTGTTTTCTTGATTCACACCCGCTGCTCGCTATCGTCGCCCCGCTGCTCGCTATCGTCGCCCCACCGCTCGCTATCGTCGCCCCGCTGCTCATATGCGACCACCGATATCTAGCTATCGTCGCCCCGCTGCTCGCCACCGTCGCACCCATTCCTGCCTGTCGCTGCCGTTGCGCCTTTGCTACCGCAGATACGTGAGGAATGGAGGGGCGGGAGAGGAATAAGGACGGCAACGGAGGAAAACGAGCGCAATGCGCTTCGAATACGACAAAAAAGGTGTGTACGAGGTAGGAAATTGCGCAGATATTCGTGAGCACATCAATAGACCATGAAACGCGAGAAATCTTAGCGGAAATGGCTCTGCGTAGCTCGGGAAACTTACTTCAAGTTAGTAAGAACCTAGTTCAAGCGTGAGAGTTTGCCGAGTTTGAGTTGTTTTGAGTTCAAGTTTGAATTTTCAAGTTTGCTGCCTGCGCTCCCCCTCATCTCGTTGAGCGGAGCTTTTCCCCGAGCCCTCCCCCGTTTCCCCCCCCACACATCATACTGCGAAGGACTTTTCCGCACGCCCTTCCCCCGCTGGCAGAAACCTCTCCCTGCTCGCTTTCCTGTGTATACTGGGTTACGCGGCTTTCAAACTATAATAGTTTGAACTGGAGCCGGGATATCTGCACCACGGCTTTAATATGATCCGCGCACGGGTCAGTCGGGAGAACCTGCCCTACAACTACCACTAGCAGCTGCGGCCTCGTGTCTCCGTAAGTCGAACTGTATTCCGTAATAAGTCCGTGACGCGACGTTCTGACACAAAGCTCGTGGCTCTCAGAATGACATTCTCGAACCCTAGGGAGCTCCAGTCATCCACCGGTTCTGTCTGCATGCTCCCACAGTCGCCTGACTCGCGCCGCTTTACGTCGCTCGATTCCGAATCACCCAAGAAGACGTTTCATCGTCGTCACCGTAGCTCCAGCACTATTACTACTGCCGTGCCGTTCTCTTCTGGAGCTTCTGCTACCGCCATGCCGTTAAAGCGACGGGCAACTTTTGGCAGTGTTGGGTTCAGAAGTTTTTTTTTTTTAACCAGGCTTGCCAGCGCGAAAGTGCTGGCTGGCGAAAACCAGGATTTCATGCGGACACTTTCCATCCGCAGTAACAGTTCGCCAGGGTTCTGGGTTTTGGGTGGCAAATGTGCACCGTCGCTTTAACGGCTACTACTAGAGCTATTATTACCGGCGGTGTCGTGCCAGTCGATGATGTTTTGGAGCTCTTCCCCCGCTATTCCTATCGCAAAGAAGCAGCAGACGAGTCTTCCACGTCGTTTCCGACCCGACTCCCGCGGCCAGCACGAGGCACGCCCGCTCCGGCCCCAGCTGCAGCGTCAGCAGCGGCAGCGGCAGCAGCAGTTTCCGCGAAGAATAATCCCCCTTCCCACCGCCGCTGCGTCAGCAGCGTTGCCACGTGCGGCGGCGTCAGTAGCGGCGGTAACAGCAGTAGGAGGTGCGTCAGCAAGGACGTTGCATCAGAACACGTCCTCATGATCCCGCGTCGCACTTTCAGCCAGCAGTTCAGCTCTGGCGAGAAATCACCGCCTAGTGTCAATGTCGGATCCACTATAACGGGGTATGCCTTCACTGCTCCAGCTGTTGCTTGGGCTGGTGCTGAGAGTAACAAGAGCCCCCGTCTTAATCACAGCAACCCCCGGTTTTATCACAGCAGATACCAATTCAACCTCAACAGCCCGCAACACGGCAGCGGCCGCTACAGCAGCCGCAGCAGCCCACAACACCACCACAGCACCCATAGCAGTCCTTCAAACAATGGCAGAAGACACGTGGAGACAGGTTCCCGCACGGATTCAAATAACGGTAAGGTTGCATCATCAACATAAAGCCGCACAGGCTATTACTAATTATACAGCAGCACGGGCTAGTACTAATTATACTGCAGCACGAACTGACGCCGAAAGTGTTACAACAGGCGCGGGTAACAGAGGTTCTGGCAACAAGAGGGATTTAGACCTCTATAGTGCAGCACACTTAGAGAAAGACCCTGGACATACTATAGCAGATATGGTGCAAGGAACAGCCGAAGGTGCGTCGAATGGAGTTTCAGGTGGAAATTTAGGTGGGATTTTTAATGAAGCTTCAGGTGACAATTCAGGTGCAACTTCTGTTGGAGGTTCAGGTGGAAAGCCAGGTGAAGATTCTGGCGGGTCGCGGCATTTGCTGGGCGGATTATGGCCGATTGGAGCGGCGCGTCGCGTGTCGCGTCATGCTCGCACGCAGGAGACTGGCGAACAGAGTGCACGTGCATCGGCTTCAGCTGTAGCACGCGCATCATTCAGTGCTTCAAGACAAGCAGCACGCTACCACCAGCAGCAGCACGACCAACAGCCGCAGCAGCAGCAGCAGCAGCAGCAGCAGCAGCAGCAGCAGCAGCAGCAGCAGCAGCAGCAGCAGCAGCAGCGGCAGCAGCAGCAGCGGCAGCAGAAGCAGGAGCAGCAGCAGCGGCGGCAGCAGCAGCAGGAGCAGCAGCAGCAGAGGCGGTATCCATCACTCGTTGTCGCATCTGAAGCTGTGAATAACGCCCTCCTGCCGGTCCAATCAGCTGCCAGCACAGCTTCTCCACGTGGCATATTAAAGAGCAGCCCACGTGGCATGCCAGAGAGCAGTCCACGTGGCAGGTCAGAGAAGCACCCTCCGCCCAGAAGCAGCTCCAACGGATTCCAATTTCACCCCTCAAACAACTTCCGCTTCCCTCCCTCCAGTGTTGGCAGCAGAAGCTTTCCTTCCCCCCCATCCCCCCCGTTCTGGGCCCCCGCCGCCCACTCCCCCATCTCCGCTTATTCGGCCCACTCCCCCATCTCCGCTTATTCGGCCCACTCCCCCATCTCCGCTTATTTGGCCCACTCCCCCATCTCCGCTAATTCGGCCCACTCCCCCATCTCCGCCCACTCCGCGCAGTCCCCCTCCCGTTCCCTCCATTCCCCCGCATCAGCACAGTCCGCCCTCTCCGGCCTTTCAACACAACCGCGCCACGCGCGTGCAGGCTCTCTCTCCTTGCGATTTGACGGGCGCATTGAGTCAGCCCACTCCGCCCTCTCCCCCTTTTCAGCACAACCGCGCCACACACGCGTGGGTTCTCTCTCCCTGCGATCCTCCTACGCGCCCTGCTCACCTCTCTCTGCTTCCGCAGTTGCCTCCGCTGCTCCCTCTCCGGCGTCTGAGCCTGGGTGGTCGCGCAGGTGGGGCAGCAGGAGCTTCCACTTGGAGCTCTATAACGCGGATGCTGGCCCCTGCAGCACTCAGAATCTATATAGCTTTGGTGCTCCGGATCAGCAGCAGAAGCAGCAGCAAGATCGACAGCAGCACCGAAATTATTGCCAAAACCAACCCCAGCAGCAGCAACAGCAGCAGCAGCAGCAGTAGCAGCAGCAGACCCATTCCCCAGCTCCTATGCTGCCCCGTGGTTGCCGGAAGGAGCTGGCGGATCGGGAAGAAGATGCAGGCAACGACACAGACGACCATGCCTTGGGTCTCTATGGTTCTGTTGGCCCAATGCATCATCAGCAGCAGCAGCAGCAGCAGCAGCAGCAGCAGCAGAAGAAGAAGAAGAAGAAGAAGCAGAAGAAGCAGCAGCAGCAGCAGCAGAAGAAGCAGCAAGGGCACCTAAAGGACCAAATGGATTGTGTTGAGGTGATGGACGGTGGAAAGGGGACAGAAGGTGCGAATGTGACAGAAATCCAAGAGGAAGGAGATGATGGTAACAACTCAGATGATGACTTTATCGGGCTGTATGGCGCTGTGGTGCGCAGCCGTGCCAGCAGCAACTGGTGGAAGAGCCACCAGCTGAGCAGTAGCAGCCAGCAGAGTAACGGCAACCAGCAGAGGGGCAACAGTCAACTGAGCAGCAGCAGCGGCGGCAGCAGCGGCAACAGCAGCAGCGGCAGCAGCAGCAGCAGCCAGCAGGGTAACAGCAAGCAGTTGAGGAGCGGTCACCCTGCTGCCCTTGCCATCCCCAGACCTCTCAGCCCTCGTGCTGCGCGCAACCGTCCCGCTCCCCCTCGTGCTACCCCCGCGGCCATCACTCCCCTTCATGTTGCTGACTTAACTGTTGCTCCCAATCCTATTGCTCCCCTGCGTGACACGGGGAAAAAGGAGGAGAGGAAGGAGAGGAAGGAGGAAATGAAGGAGGGGAGAAAGGATACGAGAACGGAAGCGAGGAAAGAGATGAAGGAGGAGAGGAAGGAAGCAAAGGAGGAAAAGAAGCAGGAGAGGAACCCTCAAGGTAGCATGCATGTGAGCCGCAACCGGGGTAGCAGCAGCAGCGTGGTCATGAGGAGGAGCATATCCCTGACCAGCAGCATCAGGAGCGGCATCCGAACCAGCATCAGCAGCAGCATCGGTGGCAGCATTGGTGAAAGGCTTGGTGGCAAATGGAGCAGACAGCTACAGAGAAGCTCTAGCAGCGCGAATGGCAGAGGGAAGGGCAGTGAGGAAGTTACTGAGGCACCTGGGAAAGGCTCTAGCTGCACGGATGGCAGGGGGAGGGGTGGTGAGGCAGCTCCTAAGGCGCCTCAAGAAAGCTGTGCAGGAGCAGAGGGAGGGCAGTGTGGATGTGGGAGGGAAAGAAGTGAGTGGGAAGGAGGAGCAGCAGAGAAGGAAGAGTGGGGTGCGAAGGAGGAGTGCCAGCTTCAGTATCAGCAGCATCGTGAGCAGCATCAGCAGCGGGTTCCCCTGGTATTCCACCGACAGTGACAGCACTAGTGCCACTCCCAAAGAGAGGGTGGGTGCCGGTGCGAGGACTGGGGAACCTGCTGGTGTTGCTAGCACAACCGGCAGAGCGCGAGTGAGTGAGTGTAGAGTGCTTGAGGTGAGGGGGGAGATGGGACCAGGAGATTCGGACGGAGAGGAGTTTGAGGGATATGAGTGTGAAGGAGAGTGTGAGGGAGAGGAATGTGGCGGAGGGGAGGGTGTGAGGAGGGAGGGGTGCCAGCCATGCTGCCCCTGGGAAGCAGCCGGCATTTCGTACCCCTTCCTGGGAGCTTCTGCTGGGCCGGAGGAGAAGGGACATGGTGCCATGGCTGTGGATGGTGGCATGCATGGTGGCACGCATGGTGGCACGCATGGTGGCACGCTTGGTGGCACGCATGGTGGCATGCATGGTGGCAGGCATGGTGGCACGCATGGTGGCATGTGTTATGAAGGCCAGTCGACGCGTGATACTCGATCCGACCAACACCAGCATGGGCATGGGCACGGGCATGGGCATGGGCATGGGGCTACATCCAAGCATACATATGAGTTTCTCAAGGGGCGGTTTATTCAGATTGCGACCAAGAGGGTGTCGTTCAGTGTGAGCGTGAACCACATTCCATAATTCCCGGATACGACTCCGGGTCGAATAAGCATGTATTATTGAAACGACTGTGTGGGAGAATTTATAAATAAATACGTTCTTTTTTTTACACTCGTGGGTAAAGTCTTCCAGACTGGAAAATAAATACTGCTACATACCATGTAGAAGAATCTATAATAAGCGAAATAAAAGCGAGTTTGGGGCTTCCACGCTGTACTGTAAGGACGTGGGCCCAATCGAGTTTGATCGCGTCGATCACACGCGATTAACAATTTCCAGGAAGCCGGGAAGCCAGTTTCAGGCAATCGGCGATTCGGCGGCAATCAGCTGATCGCCCCAACTCAATCAGACCCGATTTTCACCCCGATCAGCTAATCTCTCCCCGTATCCGCCCACGAGTCACCACGAGTCACGACCTGAATGAAATCTTCAATCTTCAATATTTTCAGGCCTAGTTCGATAGTTTCCCGCTAAAGTTTGGTCCATGTGTACAGTAGGATGTCGAACATCGGACGTTTGCGATGATTCAAGCTGCCTTTCAAAGTGGGAAGTGAATATTGTTATGGATAATGGAGCACAACCTTCGTACTCTTAAAATCCATGACTTAGGGTACGTTCTTGGCCTGTGTCAAGTGGCTATCGACAGCTCCGATCGTTCCACGTCATCATCAATCAAATCCAAACCCTTCGCAGCTTCATGTCAGCCTGCCTGACACAGGCCAAGAACTACCCTTAGTATCAAACAGGGAGCACCGCTTCGGGGCTAGCCAAGCCAGTTGCCAGCAGTCACCTCTCACCAAGCTTGCATACGTGTACAAGCTGGATGGAGGTTTCTCTTCACAACGCACGTGACGTGATGAACGCCATTGAAAAACAGTTGACAGAAGGTAGTTTCGTACAACAGGTGGTCGCATCGCATCGCAGCACACCGTGTGCTGATCCACAGGATCGCCTAGCCAGCAAGTGCTTGTGTGAGATTAGAGAGTACTGTACAGCTGTACGTAAGTGTGGGCGGCTTGTCAAACTATCGGTAGACCAACTTATTGCTTGAAAGCAGCTTGTCAAATTAGTAATTGCTCCCTGAGTCTTGCACTTGCTTCTAAGCTTTACACAACCACACTGCCAGTTTAGTCCCCTTCACGCGGAGCCTTCATCTCTTCATCGAGTCGAAACTCCCAATGTGGCAGCTGATTGTAAGCACTATCGCTCAAATCTCGTCCGTCGCCAATTAAACTTTAATTACATGATTTGAAATGACCGAGAAGTATCTTCCGGGTTTTCCGAGCCTCGTAGGCTGACAGATCGGAAATAAACTGCAGTTGAACTGGGTCTTCGAACTGCTGCTTGGGTTTCTGCGGCGCGTCCGTTCACCGCCCCATCAGATGATACCATAATGTGGGAGGCGGCAAGTCACAGCGGCAGTGGGCGGCGGAAAAAGAGTGTACGGCAAGTCACCAACCAGTGCTCCAACCCCTGGCAGGGGGCAGGATGAGTAGCACGAATGATCGTCGAAGCGTCGAATGTGGCAGTGGTCAGAAAGGAAGTTACCGCGGGCCGCCGCGACCTCGACACAGTATTTTTTTCGAAAACTATCTAGTAGCTCCTCGGGACATGCTGCCCTTGCTCCGAACTTCGACGCTTGTTGGGAGTACCAAACCAACTGTTCCCAGTGATTGGTAGTACGACTGTTCATCCGAGCTGCGTTGTCCGTGGGGAAACTTGCCATACGACCAGCAGCTGAGGCCTCTCGTCGCCGTAAGGCGAAGCCTATTCCGTGAGTCTGTCCGTGACCCGACTTTCTGACTTTTACTCGAAGCTCGTGGCTCTCAGAATGACATTCTCAAACCCGTGGGAGCTCCAGTTATCGACCACTGTTGGCGGACCCATCAGAACGCTCCCACGGTCACCCGACTCGAACCACTTAACTCCCATCAGCAGCGAGTCAGAATCGCCCATCGCTTCTGAATCGCCCAAGAAAACACACCATCGTCGTCATCGTAGCTTCACCGTTGGTGCCGCTGCTGTCATGCCGGCCGATGATTTTTCCGAGATTTTTCCCCGATCATACTCGCATCATCGCAAGGAAGCAGCAGTGCCCAGCACGCCTGCTCCGCCCGCAGCAGCGGCGGCAATGTCGGCACCAGCTGCTGATCAATGTTTTGAGGCGCCTCAATTCTCGCCCCGAGCAGCAGCGGCAACTTCGTCGGCACCAGCTGCTAAGAATAACCATCTCCCGATCCACCGCCGCTGCGTCAGCAGCGTTGACGTGACGTGCGGCGGCGGCTTTGGCGGCGCCGTCAGCAGCGGCGTCAGCAGCGGCGTCAGCAGCGGCGTCAGCAGCGTCGTCAGCAGCGGCGTCAGCAGCGGCGTCAGCAGCGGCGTCAGCAACGGCGTCAACAGCGGAGGTGTCAGCAATGGCGTCAGCAACGGCGCCGCCTGCGTTAACAGCAGTCCGAGGTGCAAAAACAAGGACGTTGCATCTGGTGAACCCGCCTTCACCATGCCGCGTTGCCACACTTACAGCCAGCAGTTCAGCTCTGCCGAGAAGACACCGCCTAGTATCAATGCCGGGTCCGCTATAACGGGCTATGCGTTCACTGCTCCATCTGCTGCTTGGGATGGTGCTGAGAGTACTAACAACAGCCCCCGTTTCAATCACAGCAGCCTCCAGTACAATCACCGCAGTCACAGCAGTCCCCGGGTCAACCACAGCAGTCCCCGACCCGGCAGCGGCCGCTACAGCAGCCGCAGCCACAGCACCCCCGGGCACAGCCACAGCACCCAGGGCAATCCGCCCAATGACTGCCTGAACGGCAGAAAGCAAGGGCACGCGGCAACAGGCTCAAGAATGGGGGACTCTTATCACGCGGACTCTTATAACGAGGACTCTTATCACGGGGACTCTTATAACGAGGACTCTTATCACGGGGACTCTTATAATGGTAACTCTTACAACGGGGACTCTTACAATGCGGACTCTTATAATGAGGACTCTTATAATGAGGACTCTTATAATGAGGACTCTTATAATGAGGACTCTTATAATACAAGTGCTGCAGCAGGTTTCGGGAGCAGAGAGTGTGGTGACAAGATGGAAGCGGACCTATATGGGACAGAGCATTTTGGGGAGGTCGATTTACACGTTTCAGCATTTAGTTTTGTGCAAGAAACAGCTGAAAGTGCATCGGATGTGCATCGGAAGCAGCAGCAGCAGCAGCAGCAGCAGCAGCGTCGGCGGCAGCAGCAACAGCATCCATCACTCGTTGTGGCAACTGAAGCCACCGGTAACGCCCTCCTTCCGGTCCAATCAGCTGCCAGCACAGCGTCTCCACGTGGCATGCCAGAGAGCAGTCCACGTGGCATGCCAGAGAAGCACCTCCCTGCCAGAAGCAGCTCCAACACTTACCATGACCACCCTTCAGAAAACTTCCGCTTCTCTCCCTCCAGTTTTAGCAGCAGAAGCATGACTTACCCCCCATCCCCCCCCTTCTGGGTCCTCTCCGCCCACTCTCCCATCTCCGCCCAGCCCCCTTCCCGTTTCCTCCACTCCCCCGCATCAGCTCGCTCCCCCGTCTCCCCCCGCTCCGGCCCCTCATCCCACCCGCGCCACAAGCACGCAGAATCTCTCTCCCTGCAATCCCACCCGCGTCTTGACTCAACTCAAGACTCCCCCATGTCGGCACACTCCGCCCTCTCCGCCCTCTCCGCCCTCTCCCCCCCTTCTGGCCCCTCATCCCACCCGCGTCACAGGCGCGCATGCTCTCTCTCCCTTCGACCCGATGCATGCCTCAAGTCGACTCAACACTCCCCTGCATTAGCTCCCTCCGCCCCCTCCGCCCTCTCCCCCCTCTCATCCCACCACCCGCGCCACACACGCGTGGGCTCTCTCTCCCTGCGCTCCTCCTATGCGCCCTGCTCGCCTCTCTCTTCCTCCCCCAGTGCCTCTGCTGCTACCTCCCCCGCGTCTGAGCCTGATTGGTCGGGAAAGTGGGGCAGCAGGAGCTTACATTTGGAGCTCTATAACGGGGATGCTGGCCCCTGCAGCAGTCAGAATCTCTATGATGATTTCGGTGCTCCGGATCAGCAGCAGAAGCAGCGGCGAGATCAGCAGCCACACCGAAACCAACTCCAGCAGCAGCAGCAGCAGCAGCAGCAGAAACGTGGGAAGGAGACGGAAAGCCAAGATGACGATGCTGCAGACGACTCAGATGATGATTTCGTCGGGCTGTATGGTGCTGTGCTGCGCAGCCGTACCATCAGCAACAGGCGCGTGCGCAACCACCACCTGAGCAGCAACGTGAGTAACAGCAAGGAGCAGAGTAACAGCAAGGAGCAGAGTAACAGCAAGGAGCAGAGTAACAGCAAGGAGCAGAGTAACATCAAGGAGCAGAGTAACAGCAGCAACCAGCCAAGCAGCAACAGTCAGCTGAGCAACGAAAATGGGTTGAGGAGCTTTCGCACTGCTGCCCTCGCCACTCTGAAACCACTCAGCCCTCGTGCTTTTCCCCGCTCTGCTGCCCTCGCCACTCTCATACCACTGCGCCCCCATGCTTTTCCCCGCTCTGCTACCGTCCCCACTCCCAAGCCACTCAGCCCTCGTGGTTCTCCCCGCGCTTCTGCCCTCGCCACTCCCAAATTGCTGAGCCCTTTTGCCTCCCCCCCCCATCCCGCCCAGCCCCATGCCGTTCCGCCCCGTCCTGCTCCCCCTCCTTATGCTGCCGATGGGGATACGAATGGGGGGAAGGAAGGGAGAAAGAGCCCGAGCGTTATTGGGTGCAGGCCTGACACCATTGGGTGCAAACCTGACACTAAACTGCCTAGGGTAATATCATTCGGATGGTGGGAGGATCTCAACTCGGATATTATATGTCAGGAGAGGAAGGAGAGGAAGGAGAGGAAGGAGGAGGGGAATGAAGTGAAGGAGGAAAGGAAGGAGGGGAGAAAGGAAGCGCGCAAAGAGAGGGAGGAGGAGGAGAAGGGAGTAGCGCAGGAGGAAAAGAAGCAGGAGAGCAACACTCGAGGTAACATGCAAGTGAGCCGCAACCGAGGTAGCAGCAGCACGGTCATGAGGAGGAGCATATCCCTCACCAGCAGTATCAAGAGCGGCCTCCGAACCAGCATCAGTAGCAGCATCGGTAGCAGCATCGGTGGCAGCATCGGTAGCAGCATCGGTAGCAGGCTCAGTGGTCGATGGAGCAGGCAGCTTCAGAGAAGCTCCAGCAGGGGGAGTGGCGGAGGGAAGGGCGATGAGACACTAGCATCTCTTGAGGCGCTGCAGCAAGGCAGTGGCTGTGCGAGTGGCAGTGGCTTGAGCGATGAGGCAGCTCTTGAGAATAGTGCCAGCCTTCAGAGAGACACTAGCTGTGCGAGTGGCAGTGGCTTGAGCGATGAGGTACCAGGGAATGGTCTGCCTTCAGACAAGGAGGGGTTGAGAGAGAGAGGTGTGGATGTGGGAGGAGAAGAAGTGAGTGAGGAGGAGGAGGAGGAGGAGGAGGAGGAGGAGGAGGAGGAGGAGGAGGAGGAGGAGGAGGAGGAGGAGGAGGAGGAGGAGGAGGAGGAGGAGGAGGAGGAGCAGAGAAGCAAGGGTGGGGCGCGGAGAAGAAGCAGCAGCTTCAGCTTCAGCAGCATTGCGAGCAGCATCAGCAGCGGGTTCCCCTGGTATTTCACTGACAGTGACAGCACTAGTGCCACTACCAGTGAGAGGGTGATTAAGAGGTTGAGTGAGAGGGTGCGTGAAAGGGTCAGTGGTGGTGCAAGGAATACAGCACCTGCTAGCGTTACTAGCAAATCAGGCAGAGCGCGAGTGCGTGAGTGTGGGGTGTTTGAGGTGGGGGGGGACGGACGAAGACAGGAAACTCAGACAGAGAGGAGTTTGAGAGAGATGCGTGTGAGAGAGAGTGCGAGAGGGTGTGTGAGAGAGTGTGCGAGATAGAGTGTGAGAAAAAGGAATCTGGTGGAGACGAGGGTCTGAGGAGAGAGGAATATGAGCAACGCTGCCCCTGGGAAGCAGCCGAAATTTCGTAGGTACCCCTTCCTGGAAGCTCCTGTGGGGCCGGAGGAGAAGGCCCATGCTGCCATGCCATTCCCGTGCATGGTGGCATGGCCGCGCATGGTGGCATGGATGGTGGAGTGCAGAATGATGGACAGTCAACACAACACGGGATACTCGTTCCGAGCAGCCACTTGAGGAGGAGGAGCAACGGTCCCGGCATCGTGATCAGCATCAAGATCAACACCCGTACGCTTGTGGAATGCGCGTGGGAGTGGGCATGGGTCTACATAAAAGCATCCGTACAAGTTTCTGAAGGGCCGGTTCATTCAGACTGCAGCCAAGCGGGTGACTTTTAGTATACGGGTGGATCACATTCCGTAACCCGTACGTAAGACGTGAGACTCCGGTTTTAACAATAATATATAATTGTGCTTTCCTTACATCTGAAGGACTGCATGTATGACATCAAAACATGACATTATTATTCACTCTGTGTTCCAATCCTTATGTGTGGTGTAGTGTAAGCGGACCAGACCAGATGTCTATTTCAGTAGGTACCACCGTATTCCTTGCAGATGAGGTGTTTGGAATGCTGTTATGACAGCTGTGAAAGTGAGATAAAATAAAGATATGCACAGGTGCATTTTCAGACAAGATTTGCTTCATACCGTATACACCCGGACAAACACACCTACTGTAGAACCCCTGCTTACAGGGGAGTTGGGTTATTAGGTAGTTGACACAAGGATAAGAGGGGTAAGAGTGGGGGGAAAGGTGGGGAGGGGGAAAGGGAGGTGGGAAAGGGAGGGGGGGAGGAGTGGGGAAGGGGAGGGGAGGAATTCAACAAGCGGTACTGGTATGTGATGTGAGAACAAACAAGCACGGACCTAAACCTAAAGTGTGAAGCTTTAGCAGCTTCTAGTGCTGAGTGACTCTGTCTGCCATAGAGCAGAGCATTCTGCCTAGCTCTCCTCCCACCCCGATAAAGATTGGTAAAGATTAGTTTGCACTTGACCGGAATCTCTAGCAGCCTTCTAACTTCCCAACCAACAGTCCGCCTGCCTGCTCTCTAATCCCATCTTGTGTGCATTGTCTTCATCACACGATCGCAAAGCAGGTGGTTGACAGGTGTCAGAATCCCTGCTAACTTCCCAACAGTCCGCCTGCCTGCGTGCAACACAGAGTGCTCTGCTCTCGTTCCCAGCTTGCATGCCTTCACTGTCTCAACATTTTCTTCATCACACTATCGCAAAGAAGGTGGTTGATGCTTCTTTGAAGCAACGAAAGAAAGCCCCCTCTCTGCTCCACTCCACTCTCATCCATTGCTTTGCTCAAGCGTGCGTACCCGCCTCCAATCGCCACCACTCGCTTGCTTACTTGCTTGCAGTAAGCCCCATTGCCTGGAAAGTGTACACCCACACACCACCGCTTCACCCATCACCCATCATCAGTCACCCAGCGAGCGCAGGGATGACAAAAAAACCCGTTCCGGCCTTATTCTGGCTCCTTCTCTTCTCCCACTCCTTTCTTAGCCAAGACACCACGCCACACCAGCAGGGAGCGTGTTTGATTGCCCTCGGGTGTCCTCCCCCCTCGTACAGCAGCACGGAGCGACACCCGCACATCCACCACCGCAGGAAACCCATCAGACGTCTTCCTCTGGTCGTACCTCGGTTCCCGCCACGCCTCACACTCCACCCAGCCCCTCCCTTGGAAACCACCTTGCACACTCCTGCTGTTTCTTTCACACACGACTTTCACACAGCAGCAGCAGGGAGAGTGACCCGCACATCCACCACCACAGGGTACCCATCAGACGTCTTTCTCTGATCATACCTCGGCTCTGCCCACGCCTCACACTCCACGTTCCCCCGCGACACAAACACATACCCCGCCCCCGGGTCCCGGTCCCCCATGCTCTTCCACGCGCCCATCCTCTCAGCCTGAGTGTCGACCAGTCCAGGGGAGAGGAGGGTGAGGTAGGGCGGGGAGAGCGGGGGAAGATTGAAGTCTCCTCCAAAAATGAGGGCGGTGGGGGTGAGGGAGTGAGAAGGGGAGGGCGTTGGTGGGGGAGTGGGAGTGGAGGGGAGGGATGAAGCGAGAGGGTGATTGGTGGCGGTTGTTGCGGCTGATGCTGCGTGTGATGCTTGTGATGCTGATGCTGCTTGTGAGCCCGATTCTTCTTGTGATGCTGAAACTGCTTGTGACGTTGGTGCAGCCACTGAACCTGGTGCTTCCTCTGCTTCTGATGCACCATCTGGCCCTACTGCTGCATTTCTATCCGCCAATGCCTCTCCTTCAGCCAATCCTGCCACTGATGCTGATGCTGATTCAGCTCTCCCTGATTTCTCTGCCCCTGCTCTTGCTGCCCCTGCTGCCTCACCTTCTTCCTCCAAATCAGGATTCTCCAAAGCCCCGCCTGCCCCTTCCTCAGTCCCATCCAGTGCTGCTGCACTGCTTGTTGCTTTCATACCACTGAATGAGCTGCTCTCTGCTGCTGCTTCGGTGGCTACTGCTGTTGCTGCTGCTGCCCCTGGCGCTGCTGCTGCCCTTGGCTCTTCTCCCAAAGCACCATGCACAGCGGAATGTGAAGCAGCATCTGCCGTTCCATAATTTGTTTCACCTGACAGCTCACCTGACGGTTCCCCTGGGAGTTCACCTGACAATCCACCTGACAGTTCACCTGCTGTTCCCATTCTCCCTTGCAACCCCTCTTCTTGAGTCCTCCTCTCCTCTCTCTCCGCTTTACCCTCCCTCTCACCCGCCCCTCCCGCACCCTCCTCCCCCCCCTTTCCCACCTGCAGCACGCTACGGACAAGGGACGCCGCCCGCTCAGCCTCCAGCCGAATATCCACCTCAAGATCGCTGAAATGCGCGTTCATGATGTGAACAGGGTAACCAGACACGACCCCACTCGTCTGGTTACCCCACCCAGCGGCGCCCCTATTGGTAACCATGTTACCGCCTCCGGGAAGCATGTTACCAGCGCCTAGGAGAATAACTGCGTGCTGGAAGCAGGCGAGCTCGCCGTGGGGGGAGGGGAGGGACTGGGAGGGCGAGGCGGAGAGGAGGGGGAAGCGCGAGAGGATGGCGCAGCCCCAGGACTGGTGGCGGGCGGGAGGGGAGGACCACGCGTGCATGCCCAGCCATGTTGCCAGGTACTGCACCTGAGGGTGGGGACGCAGACAGGGACAGGAGGGAGTGTTGGGGGAGGGGAGAGAGGAGGAGGGAAGGGTGGGTATGAGTGCATGTGGGAATGCAGAGGGTGCCCCTTGGAGACAACAAAAAACTCATGATTGGTGGCGAGCAGGAGGAAAGAACCCAATGAGTTTTTCCTCCCAATGAGAAACCCACCCATTTCTCACCACTGATGCGAGTCCACCACCCACCCCCAATGCCAGTCAGTCACCACGCCAAGCCCACACCCGCAATGCAGGTCTCACCCCCGTTTCAAGCTCAAGCCAGCATCGAACCACAGGCATTTGTGGGCGTTCTCAAGAATGTCTACCAGCACATGACATGCATGTGACTCACCATGTCAACATTGCCATGGATCATGTGCATTGTGTCCGACTCCTGCAGCCTGCCATGTGCCCACGTGGAAAGAGACGGTATGTCAAGGTCAATGTCAGTCAAACATGGTCAAACAGAGACAGACAGAGTCAACATTGTCATGGATCGTGTGCATTGTGTCTGACTCCTGCAGCCTGCTATGGGGACAAGAATGGTGGAAAATAATAAAACGACACACAATACCAATCTGAGAAGCGTACGTAATTGTTTCACCATTGCCTGTGTTTTGACACCGATTGAGTAATTTGAGCAGCTTACAATGTCCGGGTTCTGCTGCCAGATGACATGCTCTATGGCGTCCAGATTCACTGAACCTGCACGACTGAACTGTGCAAGGTACGGCCCATACCAACAATACGTTTGCACAGTGTTACTTACAATACTTACACATTTGCCCATTTGCATTGTCTACTCACAATACAATGTCCGGCTTCTGCTGCCAAATGACATGTTCAACGGCGTCCATGTTCACTGAACCTGCACGGCTCAATTGTACGAACTGGGGCCCTATTTTCACAGTAAATTTGCAGAGTTCACTTACAATACAATGTCCGGCTTCTGCTGCCATATGACGTGTTCAACTGCGTCCATGTTCACTGAACCTGCACGGCTGAATCCCTGCTGCACATTGAAGTTGAGCACCCGAAGCTGCACCCAAGCCTCCAAGCCAGGCTCGGCACTGGCAGAACTGCCGGGGCTGCTGCTGCTGCTGCTGCTGCTGCCGAAGCTGCTGACGAAGGTTGGGGAGGAGGAAGGGGCGTAGGCGTATTGAACGAGGAGGGGGAAGGGGAGGAGGAGGAGGACAATCAGGAGAAGAGCTAATAGCGCCTGTTGTGGTGGGGAGTTCCGGGGGGAAAAGGGAGGGGGAATGCGAGGGGGAACAAGAGGGGGAAACAGAGCGAAGAGGAGGTGAGGGAGAGGGAGGATTAGGAGGAGGCAAATGAGAGTCAGGAAGGAGGGGGAGGAGGGGCAGGCGGAGGAAGAAAGTGAGAGGAGTTGGAGGGGAGGAGGCAAAAAGAGAGGACCAAAGGCAATGGTGGTGGGTGTGGGTGCATGGGACTCATGCGATGCATGTGGTGCATGGGACTCATGCGATGCATGTGGTGCAGCATGCGATGCATGTGGTGCAGCATGCGATGTATGTGGTGCAGCATGCGATGCATGTGGTGCAGCATGCGATGCATGTGATGCAGGTAACGCATGCAAGAGCACCATTGTCTGGTGCAGGCTGAACGAAGGAGTGAAAAGGTGAACAAATGGATACAAAAACGGGGCGAATGTATAAGAAGGGACGATATGTAAATATGATGATTACAAGGGAGAATGTATAGAAGGGGTGTATACAAGGGCCACAGCTTCATGCAAGTAGCAGCTAGACAACCCAGAATAAACGCTGCAGGCCCTTGTGCCTAGCAAGCCAGCCAGCCCATGGGTCAACTCACAGGGAATGTACAGGTCAATACTGCAGCCACTGTAGCACCCTCGAGCATGCATGGCGTTGCTCAGCATGCATGTCGCAGGAGCAGTGGCAAGGGATAAACTCGAGAAGTAACAAGGGATTGGTGGCACGAGCAGTGCCTACTTCAGACTCTCACCCTAGGTGCATCAAATTCCAACAGGTCTTGCCTGGGTAGACGAAGGGAGAAGGGGCTTTGAGCAGCAAGAGAGGAAGAGACGAAGCCAAAGGAACGCCCCTGTGCCCCTTACCCTCCCTTGTGCTAATTAACCGTGCATGTCTGCAACTCGTGTTGCCTGTTTTCTCTAGGTTTCCCTTCTTTGTTCCCATCCCCCCTGCTATTTACACCGAGACGACAAGGTCCCCTGTGAGAGAAGCATGAGAAATGCAATGAGGATAAGGCCACCGAGCCTAACCATTCGGTCCGGGACGCCGCTGCCCCACGCGAGCCGCCCGAGCCTCCACCACTCCGTCCGAACCGCCAGGTCGCCCCGCCGTCCCTCGCCCTTAGGTTCGGGGGCCCGCCATATTCCCCAAGCCACTCCTCCCATCGCCACCACCATTAGGACCGGCAAGCTCCCCCGAAGCAAGCCAAGAGGTCCGAGCTTTTCGTATGCCACCAAGGCTGCACTCCAAACCAGCAGCACGACATACCAGATTGCCGAACCTGCTGCTCCTAGGCCCGGATACGCCCCGCCCATATTTTGCGCCAGCACAACCCACAGGCTCGGGATTGCCATGGCTAGGAGCGGAGCACCAAGAAGATAGGATCGGAAGCCTGCAGCTTCGGCTGCTGCTGCTGCTCTGGCTGCAACTGCTGCTGGTTCGGAGAATGTGGATGTGCTAACTTGCGATGCCGAGGCAGCAGCAGCAGGTACGGCAACAGGTCCGGCAACAGGTCCAGCAACAGGTCCGGTAACAGGCCCAGAAAGGTATACCAGATCCTGAGTCTCGTCTGACACATACCCGCTGGCTTGGGAAAACGACAGCCAGAACCGTGACCCAGGCTCGTGCCGAGCCTGAAGCGCAGGTATGGGATGGAACGGCCCGGAGAGAAGCAACCAGATGCAGCCAGAAACAGCAAGAGCCAGCGCCGCTATAGCATGCACGCGCTTAGGAATATGCATACGGAGAACCTCTGCAGCGAGCACTATACCTAAAGCGAGTGACACTACAGAGATGAAACCCCAGGCAGGGGGAGCAGAGAGCCATCTAGGAATTAAGTAGGGCGAGGAGAGCAGCCAATGGCAGAGGAACATGAGGCTGCCGTGGCCAATGGCGGCTTGACACGTGCGCAGGCACCCGTGCTTCGTCCAATGAGCGCGTTTCTGCCGGAAAGGGAGCATTTCGTCATCTGCTGCTGTAGCCATTGTTGCTCGCGCCATAGCTGCTCTGTCCAAACTGCCTAGTCTGTCCCACGGACCCTCCCATGGCAGTACTGCTGCTGCCTTCCATCCCTCACTCTGAGTGGCATGAGGCAGGCCCGGGCACGTGCTGTAGCACTTGCGTTCTCTGCTGCGCACCCGAACCACACTCAACCCTTCACAACCTCCTCCTGCTCCATCTCCCGCCTCCATCCCCCTTTCACCTCCCCCTCCCCCTCCCTCTCCCCTTCCTCCTCCTCCCCTTTCTCCTCCTCCTGCGCTCCCTGCCCCATACCCCTCCGCCCGGCCCTCCGCCCCGTACCCCATACTGTCGCACTCGCTAAGCTCCACAGTCATCTCCCACTGCCGGCTGCTGCGCCACTCAGCTTTAAGCTTCCCTTCAGACGTCTCCACAGAGCCAATCTCGAGGCCAAAGTACCCCAGCACTCCACGCGCAGGCTCCCGCCACTCAGGGTAACCCTCATTGCCTTCGAGCGAACCCTCGTTACATTTGGGCAAACCGTCGTTGCAGCACCCATCTTGCTGCTCTGGCCCCTGCCCTTCCACCCCCTCTGTCGATTCACGCCCTGCTTCCTGCGGACCCGAATCCACATTCCCCTGCACCTCAGCTCCCAACTCACTTCCAAATCCTGTAGACTCCCTCCCCTCCCCTTCTCTTACAGCCGCTCTTTCCACTGTTCCTCCCCCTTCCTCTACCTCGGACTTGCATTCACCCCCAAGCGTCCCCTCCTCCCCTATCACTCTTACGCACTCACACCCTTGTGTGACACGGCATCCACACCCCTCCCTACTCGGCCCAGCGTTACTGTCACAGTCACTTTCACTCATCACTACAGTCCCCCCCTCCCCACCGTTCTCCACCTCCTCCTCTTCCTCCATAAATCCGCCCAGCATATCAGCCACCCACACGGGTCCTGTGGCTGCATTCCCTCCCGCACCTGCTGCTGCCGAGGCAGACACAGTGCGTGATCTGTCATAGGCCGATGACGAGGCGTCGTGTGATTCGTCCACGCTGCCCCCCCAACCCTGGCTGTTAGGCTCGGAGGACGTTCCTAGGCATCCCGAGCCTGTGCTAAACGGGCGGGTAGCAGCAGGTTCGGCAGCTTGGGCTTTTACTGCTGCTGGAATGACCTCCCGTTGTTGCTGTCCCATATGCTGCTGCTGCTGCTGCTGCTGCATCTCTTCTTGGGCCCCGTCAACCGTAACTGCTACGAAACTTGCATTTGCTGCCCTCAATTCCGCCCTTTCCTGACCGTTTCCATCCATCTCCATGCACCGCTCACCGCTCTCAACACCTCCCTCATCCAGCACGTTAGAATCACCCTTCACACAATCCCACTGCTTCAATCCCGCCTCCTCTGCCGCCCGCCACCCTCCCTCCGACTCCACACTCCAGTCATCCTCACTCAACACAGTCCCTTCCAACCTCTGCCCACCGCGCCCAGCCGGCCAGTACCCCTGCGCGCCCTCCGCGCTTCCGCTCCCGCCGATCAACCGCCCCTGCTCCGCCTCCTCCTCCCCTTCCCAGTCCCGCAACTCTTCATACAGCAGAAGCGCAGCGACCCACGCGCCGGGGAGCACCGCCAGCAGCAGCAGCCCCCACCATCGCGCAAGCAGCGGGTTGCGCCCGCCGAACGCCAACTGCAGCGCCTGCAGCAGCAGCAGCCCCCCCGCGAGCCCGAACCCGACCCTCCGCCTGCGCGCAGGGGGGGCGAGCCATAGACCCTCCCCTATGTATAACCCTACCATGGCAACTCCTGCTCCGCTAAGAGCAACCCCCCATATAGTGGTTTCGACGCCCTCCCTGCTGCCGCCCACGCCGACCACGCCGCCTAAGACGAGGAGCGCTCGGAGCACGGGATTGGTGGAGAGCAGCTGGTGTAGAAACTCGTGACCTAGCACGAGACCTGGGAGAGGGGTGATGAAAAGGGGGAAAGAGAGAGAGGAGGATGGGTATGTAGCGGATAGGGAATAAGGGATTGACGGAGAGCAGCTGGTGTAGAAACTCGTGACCTAGCACGAGACCTGGGGGAGGGGAATGTGGCGACGGGGAAGCGCAGGGGAGAGGGGGGTCAGGGGGGAGAGACGGGGAAAAAAAATCAGAGGAGTGGATACGGGGAAGGGATAGCGGGTACCGAAGTCGCGTTGGCAGTGGGTAAAGAGATTCATGAGGCCGGGTGGGGAAGAGGTGTGGGCGATGAGGCGACGGAATGCGAAGTCGATGGAGGTTAGGGTTTGACGTGCGTGAAGTCGCCTCAACGGCCAACACAGCACCAGAAACGCGCATCTGGTCGACTGCGACGGCCTGCCTGCGACGAGCGTCAGCCGAATGCGACGACCCTTTGCGTACGACCTCCTGCGACAAGCATCTATCTAGTCGAGTGAGAGCCTACCTGGGATGAGCAGGTAGGCGAATAGGAGGATGTGAGACGTGAGGCCCTGTGCGGCGAGCATTGAATCGAGTGGAAACCTACCTGGGACGAGCAGATAGCCGAGGAGCAGGATGTGCGAGGTGAGGCCCTGCGCGGCGAGCATGAACCAGTACACGCTGCGCACGAACGCCATGAGGCTCGTCCAGAACAGCAGCCCCACGAACGCCTCGGTCGGCAGCTGCACCACCGGCCGCACCAGCGGGTGGCGGAGAAAATCCAGCTGCCCCACGCGCCGAGACTTCCACGTGTCCACTAGCCTGTGTGAGGAGAGGCGGGGGTAAAGCGGGGGAAAGGAAATGCACTTATGGTTGCTGAACCACCAGTCGTAAGAGCGGATGGCGGGGGAAAGTCAACTTCCCCATGCGACGAAACTTCCACGAGTCGACTCGTCTGCTGGGAACGGCAGCGCGCGGTGGGAAAACGGCAATGAGGCGTCGCGGCAACCAAATTCGTTCCGAATGAATGTGTTACACGATACAGCGCAACAACATACGACTGATTTTCCCAGCTAATTAACCGCAGTCACCGCATTAGCACGCACCACTCCCATGCTGATGCCGGCGTGGTTTGCCGGTCCACGAGCCCGAATATCGGCCCTTGGTTTGCGGCGACTTGTTTCTCGAATGAATTCGTTACACGATATGGCGCAAGAAGATACGATGGACCGCATTGCATTAGCACGCACCACTCCCATGCTGATGCTGGCGTGGTTTGCCGGTCCACGAGCCCGAATATCGGCCCTTGCGACCCCCACGCGCGCGGCATGATCCCCTGCCCGAATATTCTCCGCACTCGCCGCGGCACCAGCCTGTCCCAGCTCGCCGCTCCGAGCTGCAGCAGCTGCGCTCTCCGCTCCCCCCATCCTCCGCCATTCCCGCTTCCGCCCGCGCCTTCCGCCTCCCCTCCGCCATTCTCTCTGTCGTTGCAAAGAGCCTGCGCCTCCGCCGGTTCTGCCCCGAGCTCAAGCTCGTGTGCGTCATTCTCGGTTTCGACTACGGGAGCTAAGGCGTGGGGCATGGGCGGGGATTGCATCTGATGGAGGTTCCATTCGGTTTGGAGCGATTTGGCGTCCTCTGGCGTGTGTAGGTTCGCGGAGGTGAACCGGTAGGGATTGCTCTGGCATAATGGGGAAGAGGGATTGGAGGAGCCTGGAGAACTGTCGCTGTCTGATTGGTCTACGAACCTCGTGTATGCGGATCGCCGGGGTACACCCATGACAAACAGCTATTGCGTGAACTTCGGGAAGGCTTTGCTTGAGTAACTAATGTGAACGTGGCATCCTGATTACAGCAACACAAAATTCTACACCTAACAAGCCACTTCGGTCAACCAGGAGTAAGGAAAATAGCAGAATGAGAGAAATTCTCGAGGCTGGATGGGACTGAACTGCCTACAACTGGTGGTAGTGTGCCTACCAACCTTTCACACCCCACACTAGGAAGTTGGAATTGCTTCTGGTTTCACCTTCCAATGTACTCCCTCTCTGAGTTCTACTGATGGCTGTCGAGTCTGGTGACAAAATCCAACCTTGGGAACATCGCTTCTAGTTGTTCCTTGGTTTCATCTCCTCCTCACCTCGGTTCAGTGACTCTCCCCAGAAAATCCGCTTTTTGAAGTCCTGTTACACCTAGTCCGCGGTATTTTAACCGCCGCTATCTTAACCGCGCGAGGGTACTTCTCCTTGGTCAAACTTTTTTATACGAGTAGTTTTAAAATTTATTGAGGGTAGAATCTAGCATACCCTTTGTGAGGCGACGGCAGTCAAAACCTGGTCAATGCCGATCCGCCCTCTATTTCGGAGCACTAAGTGTGAGTTTCTTTAAAAGGAAATGCTTCTGGCTGCGAAACAATAGCCTTGAAGTCTCTGGGTGCCCATCTCATTACCCGAAAATGAACAAAGGGTGTTTGAAGCAAAACAGTTCACGTGGTTAAAATACCGCGGACTAGGTGTATCTGGTTCGTTGGATTCCACCTTTCGTTCCTCCCATTCGCGAATCCTGCTCTGCTGTTCGCCTAACATGTATGCTCTGCTGCTGCGCACCGCACCTAGCTTCCGCCGTGGGTGAGACAATAACGGGAGGCGTTTGCCGGGGTCCACATTCACAGACCCTCCTCCTCTGTGCCCGACTGACGGTACAATTTGTCGGCGGCAGTCCCGGTGCAGTTTTTGTGACAGGAATTTCTCGGGCCATTTTCTACGGCATTCAAATTATGCCAGCGCAATTATGCAGATGCATACAATAGACGGCCCTAGGGGAAAGTGGCTGACGGACTGTTATCTGCCCGCGGTCAGAAAAAACTAAACCCCATCCGGATGGCATGCGACTGGGGGAGCCTCAACCCTAAACACGGGTAACCGCGTAATTTTGCCGGCAGGCCGACATTTTTGCCTGAACCGTCTATTGCATGCATTCGCAAACTTGCACTAGCGAAATCTGCATGCAATAGGTAAAAGCCGGAATTTCTCGCGGCAATTGACGGCAACCAATCACAGACACGGTCTCCTTTATCCCTCAAGACGGTTGCGGTTGACGGACCGTCCGATAGGGGCGGATGGGATGTTGGCCCTTGCGGCCATTTTCAGGTGCATGCCACTCTGTGGGGAAAAGCTTCTCAGGTGCATGCTATCGCGTCGTGATTCTCCCCTTGTTGCCACTGTTTGTACCCATCCGCCACTAAATACACTGTTCTGTCAGGGGATGCAACCCACGCGACTGACACCAACAGAAACAGCTCTCGCACGAACTCGCCACACCAGTCACACCAGTCGCAGCCTTTCCGCGCGCCAAACCAGGAAGGCATGCAAGCGCAAAATCTGTGCGCAATTCCCTTTCCCCCCCCCCCCCTTCCTTCTATCCAGCAATCACTAAGTCCAGAAATTCAACGGAAGAGAGAACCACAGCACAGAAACCCTGATCCTGCACATCGGGGATAGACTTAACGATGTATGCTTTAGTAGGTATGATTGTTTATACGTAGTATATTTTTAACATGAAAATTGTAAAGTACACGAAACACACAACAAATTAATACGAAATGTGTTTGGGGTAAAAAAAAAAACGAATTTTAGACCATAGCCCACATTCAGAGAATATGTGTGTATTTTCTTTCTTAAAATGATACATTATATTTAAGGTACAATTTTTGTGTAATAATTGGTTGTGTATCATGGTTTATATGATAGACATATTATCATATTATATGTCTAGATATCTCCCTTGATCTATCTATATATTTGTCTATAACTCTCTCCCTCTTCTTCATTCTCACTTTATATATTTCTCTACGCATTATATATGTTTCTATATTCTCTACAGAATACAGAATTATATAGAGAGAATACAGAATTATATAGAGTGTGTAGAGAATATAGACAAATATATAATGCGTAGAGAAATATATAAAGTGAGAATGAAGAAGAGGGAGAGAGTTATAGACAAATATATAGATAGATAAAGGGAGATATCTAGACATATAATATGATAATATGTCTATCATAGAAACCATGATACACAACCAATTATTACACAAAAAATGTACCGTAAATATAATGTATCATTTTAAGAGAGAAAATACACACATATTCTCTGAATGTGGGCTATGGTCTAAAATTCGTTTTTGTTTTAACCCCAAACACATTTCGTATTAATTTGTTGTGTGTTTCGTGTACTTTACAATTTTCATGTTAAAAATATACTACGTATAAATAATCATACCTACTAAATCATACATCGTTAAGTCTATCCCCGATGTGCAGGATCAGGGTTTCTGTGCTGTGGTTCTCTCTTCCGTTGAATTTCTGGACTTAGTGATTGCTGGATAGAAGGAAGGGGGGGGGGGGGGGGGAGGGAATTGCGCACAGATTTTGCGCTTGCATGCCTTCCTGGTTTGGCGCGCGGAAAGGCTGCGACTGGTGTGACTGGTGTGGCGAGTTCGTGCGAGAGCTGTTTCTGTTGGTGTCAGTCGCGTGGGTTGCATCCCCTGACAGAACAGTGTATTTAGTGGCGGATGGGTACAAACAGTGGCAACAAGGGGAGAATCACGACGCGATAGCATGCACCTGAGAAGCTTTTCCCCACAGAGTGGCATGCACCTGAAAATGGCCGTTGGCCCTTGACCCATGACCCGCGCCTCCGCGTACGTGGCGCTGCTTTCTGTGCCTGAAACTTCCCCACCGAAACTGTCAATGACATCTGGGCTGGCTTCGTTATGCACACACTGTACTACGAACGTCAGTGAAATGATAAGTATCTTATTAACTCCAGAATGCTTCCCACCAACCACTTCACAAAATTACATAATCCCTACAGCAAACTCCTCATCATCGGCTCCAAGGGGCTCAACGACACAGGATACACTCTCATCTTCGTTGAAACAAGCATTTTATATATCTGGTGGACAATGTTTATTTTCGATGTAGGGCATACAATGTTTTCAGTTTTGCTTGTTCTATCGTAACGACGGTTGGGAATGGAACTCAAGGATTTGGTAGTTTGACGGCGCGGATAAATTATGCAGAAATGTAAGGACTACATAAAGAAAGAGGGAATTCTGCATCACATCTCGCTGCTTTACGCACATCTCACAGCAAGGCGTCGCCGCACGGACCATCTGCACGCTCATAATTAAGGTCCGCACGATTATGAAACAGTATAAAATTCTCACCGTCAAGTGGATTTTACAAAACATCCTGCTCCACAAACCACTCATTCTTTAACTGTTCCGCACCGACCAGAGACGATAGGCAGCAACGACGTACAAGCATTGAGATCAAAGCAACGAATATGAAGCCATAGTCGCACATTACGAATACCTTGGACCTAACCACTACCACCAGAGGACAACGTTGATAACAACTGTTACGATATGAAACTTGATGAGAAGGCATTCCTGTATGCTGCAGGGGCCGACTCTAAAGTGTACGAAGCCGAGGAGTCAGAAGAGTCGAAGCGACACTGGTAACCGTATGATCAAGACCGATGCAGGCATAAACATTCGAAGTGAAAAGAGCGGGAACAGGTTTGAAACGGGTTCCTGCGCCGCACGGTTTGAACTTCGCAGTAATAAGGGAATGTACCCCTTAGAGTACATGGCTAGTATAGGTCGTTTTGTATTCCTTTGTATTTCCTATATAAACTCGATGTATGCATGCTATTATCAATCTCAGTCATTTACATTCACTCTGATCTGAATTTCAAACTCTTCCGCTGCAACATTACCCTGCGATCAACCATGAGCGATCCTTCGCTAAGTCCCACTTGGGATTGTTGTCAGATTTATATGACATAGCTACTGTAGGCTATAGTGGGGTAGCACATATGGGGTACAGTTTTCTAGGGTTTGCTTCTTGTACCCAACTTTCACTTAGTCATTTCATTCCTCGTTTCTTCTCATGGTATCGAGCAGGTTCCCTAGTGGGAACGATTCCTAGGGCCCACCACCACGAAAAAAAAAAAAAAAAAAAAAAAAAAAATTCCTGCCCGGAGCGCGTTTTGCGCCGGCCCGAGTCGCGCCCGTCGCGCCCGTCGCGCCCGTCGCGCCCGTCGCGCCCGTTGCGCCCGTCGCGCCCGTCGCGCCCGTCGCGCCCATCGCCACCTACCTCCGCGGCCCCGCCACCTACCTTCGCGGCCCCGCCACCTCACTGTGCGGCCCCGCCACCTACCTCCGCGGCCCCGCCACCTACCTCCGCGGCCCCGCCACCTACCTGTGCGGCCCCGCCACCTACCTGTGTGGCCCCGCCACCTACCTTCGCGGCCCCGCCACCTCACTGTGCGGCCCCGCCACCTACCTCCGCGGCCCCGCCACCTACCTGTGCGGCCCCGCCACCTACCTTCGCGGCCCCGCCACCTCACTGTGCGGGCCCGCCACCTACCTCCGCGGCCCCGCCACCTACCTGTGCGGCCCCGCCACCTACCTTCGCGGCCCCGCCGCCTTCCTGTGCGGCCCCGCCACCTACCTTTGCGGCCCCGCCGCCTCCTCCCAGCGGCCCCGGATGCCGCCCTCTCAGCGGCCCCGCC